GAGCTCTTCAGCAACTCCCTCTACCTCTGCCTCCGAAGCCCGGTCCGGGTCTTCCTCCAAGTTTACCTCAACCTCTAACCTCGCCGCCTGATCGAAGAGTTCAGACCACCGCGAAGGCTCAAAAGGCTGAGGAAGCTGTGAAAATTTCTTATACCCGGGGGTATAATTCAGCAGGACGTGGGCAGCTCGGCCGAACCCGTCGTCACCAGTAAAACTCCAAACCGTGACTAGGTCGGCGAAGTTCACCAGCGACCGAGGGGGAGGAGCTGTTTCCCGAGCAGGAATATCTGCACAAACAAGAAAGTAGTCATGAACAAGGGAAATCTGGAAAACGAAATAGTAAATCCGAAGGAACCGACGTACTTGTCGTTCTCCACTCCAGGGGGCATAACAACTCGTAATACTTGGGACCAACACCTCTCTGCCAAGATCCCTTGAAAATAAGAATATCATCCTTGTACCCCTTGTCCGAGTTAGGAAGATGGGTCACAAGGTACATGGAGGGGTCCCTGGCTTTGAGGTAGAAGTGTTGGTGAGGCATGACTCTCAGGAGGGAATAACAAAAAAGGAGATCGTTGAGCCCAATATTTACCCTGAGGCGCCTATTGAGCTCTAAGACCCCCATGATTATTCGGAAGACATTGAGGCAACATTGCCCGGGGAAGAGGCGGAAATGAGAGAGGAACTGAAGGAGTAAGGGGGTAAAGGAAACCTAATTTCTCCCTCTATTATGGCCTTAGTATAGAAGGGCATGGCATCTCGGTCCCGAGGGTAGAAGAGTGCACCACCAGGTCATAATCCTCTACATCTACGCTCGGGGGAATGNTAGAAAGCAAGAGAGAAGAAACCAAAGAAAAGGAACTTACCACCAGGGATTTTTGGATGATGGAGCTGAACAACACGTTCGTTGAACGCCCCCTATGAGCCGCCATGTTAGCCTCGAAATGCAGTGTCTCACTCACTGCATGGGCGACATGAGGATCCAGCAAAATAGAATCATCGACCCTGATCACTCGGTTCATGTGATCAGTGGCTCGGGGATNTCCCTGAGGAAGTTTCCCGAGGGTTAAATCGCTATGTATCAACCGGATGACACCTCTAGTCAATCGGAAAACAAAAAGCTAGGAGGAAGAAAAGAAAGGGGATTCTGAAACTCACCCGAATGTCAAAACGGAGTTTTTTTCTGGGAAACCTTAAAAGTGACTCCCTCCAGAAAGTTCAGAATCAACGGTGGGTCTGCTGGCTTAAAGATCTTAAGGAAGAATGGGCAGTCGACGACGGAAGAAGAAACGAAACTCCGGCGAAGATTCAAGAAGAAGCTCTCTTAAGGAAGTTCGAAATGGCAAAACGATGAAAACAGAAGAGGAGCCCCCTTTATATAGAGGCAATTTTCATCATTGGACGCGAAAAACGAAACGATGCATTTAATGCGCACGGCATCCCAAGCGGGGGAAAGCGGCTCGAGACAATGATGATGTACTGGTGGTTGTTGGGAAACCCTTCGTCTCCTTACGACGCGTGTCCTCGGTGTCAGAAGATCGAAGGCTGGGGGGCAGTTGATGGGACTTTTCTGAAATACCCTATGATGAAGACACGTGTCCTCGGTTTTACTAAAACACTGTTGCTAAGATCAAGCACCATCGGCGCATAAAGGTCCTCGCCCCCGAGGTACTCGTCATATAGGATCATGCATTCAGTATGTTTTACAACCGACACGTGGCCTCGGTCTGATATGTACCTCGGTCGGCATACCTCCCTCGGTCCCCGAGATGAGCCTTTCCTCGGTGCCGAGAGGTACCCCGTCCTGGACGCTTCCTCTACTCCAGGATAAGCTATTGACGTACAGGTCATTAGCCTAGGCTAGTCTAGGCTATTCATCATGACCTCGTCTTACACAATTAGTGTCAGAACGTACTGGAATGCAGGGGTCACAGCCAATAAGGGATGGACGCGTGGCATATGATATCACATCGAAGACAGAGAAACCGCATGCCGTTGCTGACACGCGACTTGGGAAAGCAAACAATTAATTGCACCATTCCCTTGATGAGACCGCATTCAATGCGGTAAGGCTCGAAAATGAAAGGCAATAAATGCTCATGTTACAGAGCATTTATTGCATCCTCCCCAAGAGGAGCACATTGTACCGTCGGCATCCCGATGATCCAGCATTGATTGCTCGGGACCCCGAGCAGTTAATTAGAGAAGACATTCCTCATCAGAATCAATGCACACGCTACCTGTGCCTAATGATCACCTACTGACGATACTGACAGCAATCATGAGCTTTTAAAGTATAAATACTCCTTGCAAAAGGCAAAGCGGGTATGCAACAACAAACTCTCTACTACAATACACACTCAGTGTTTTCTCCTTCCTCTCTCTCTCTCTCAAAGACTGACTAGATTGTCGGAGGGGATACGCCGGAAAACACTCCGACGCCCTTCTAACTTGTTCTTCTTTGTTCCAGGATCCTCTTTCAGCCTTACTGGATCGTTCTCCCGCTCACCCAGGGTCTCCCGTTGCCGTTCCAGGTTACCACCGGACCTCGCAGGCTATTCCAAGCGGCGTGGTTGGTCACTCAACTGGCACATTCGAAGTTCACCAAGGGAGAGATCTGTTCTCGTTTTTTATATTGTGCAGGATCTTGCACGCACAGATATGACCTAAAGATTTAACAAAGTTTCTTTCAGGGCGTATCATCATGCCACAATGCTCAAAATTTTACATTAGATTTTGAATGAAAATTTGAAAACCGTGTTACTTGACATTGTGCAAGTCGGCTCATTATATTTTACAATACAAGTGCAGCCTATTTGTGGAAATTGGATTTAACTTGGTGTTTGTTCTTGTTTGACTTAGAATTTTGATAAATTGATTCATCTTTTAGATATTTTAAGAAATAATGTCATTTTTTAGCATTAGTGTCCTACGTTATTTGAATATATGCCGATATATGCATGTTGGTACCATATTTTTTCTTTTACGAAATATGCAAGTGAATTAACATCCTTGCCGTGTTTTATGTAATATAGGAAATTAACGGCGGTAGTAGACGAGTGTAAAATTAGATGATGTCTGTTACATCTAAACACTCAAGCAAATTGGTTATGTTTCAGGTATACCATTAATAAGATGATAATCCATACTGCAATTTTACTATATAATTATCTATTCTCAAAGTTGTTCACGTGCAAAGCACGTGTGCAAGTACTAGTATCTTATAATATCTTGAAACATTTAGAAATAAATGTGTAAATGCATTAAAATAAAACAAAACATTTCGAAATATTATGGAACAACTCGAAGTATTAGAATTTCGATTTCATTACTGATTCATTTCGATTTCCTTGAAAATAAAAACATTTCAGATGTTTTGACCGTTTCAAAACTTGAATTTGATATAACACGATTCGTTAGACACAAATTAATAAACTACTTGAGTATAAGCGAAGTGTTCTTTGCCACAACCTCGGTAAGAGTCGACACAAATTTGCCTCAACCGACAAGACAAGTGATATTAGATTTAATCCTCCTCGAATAAGCTTATTCAAAAATCAGCTATACGTTGTTGAAATCAGTTTCTTGTAGAATTGTTTAAAATTTAACTTCAAACTAGTTATTCATATCAACTTGGATATTCAGACCGAATTCCTGATTTTTATCGAATTCAAATATGAATTGGTAAAAAAAAAAAAAATTCATTGGATAATTGGATCAAATTTAAATCAAAATTTTCATATTGAACACAATTTTGGATAAGATGAAATCCAATCCAAATTCAATCCAGAGGTTAGAAATTGTAGTAGTTACCGCCTGTATATGCCAACTGTAATATTCAATTGATATATCTTTATTACTAACAATTGGTNTCAGATGAAATCCAATCCAAATTCAATCCAGAGGTTAGAAATTGTAGTAGTTACCTCCTGTATATGCCAACTGTAATATTCAATTGATATATCTTTATTACTAACAATTGGTATAACCAATTAATAATAAATTAGTAACTTTCACATCCGATGTTATATTGAATTAGTGAGGCTTGCTAATCATATATGTTTATTTATTATTGGTTGATGATACTACAAGAATTACCCATCAACCAAATGACCGTGGAATAATATTAAGTGGGCTAATTGACCGGTGTTTGAGTCGCGTATTTGTGTTGAGTATTAGTGCCTTTACTCCAATCACTTTAATTAATTGTGTTAGATATTCTAACATTAACTTAATTTATTTATTATCGTAAAAAAAAAAAAAAAAGGGCTCAATTACGGTACCAAACAGTGACTAAATTTGCATGTTAACCTCTACTTTTAATTCAATAAAATGTGAAATATATAGTAATTTTTATTTTATATTACTTTATTATCTTAAAATCAACGACCACAAATTAATTAACCAAAAAGCGACGGTTTTAAATCATTTTTGGTATGTTATTAAAAATTTTCATGAAAAAACCACATTCAATTGATAGACCTCTTAATAAGTTCCAAAGGATTCTTCGATTCCATAGGAATTATAGTATTACTGTTACATCAAATATTTACTCCATAAAAATCAGATCTTTGACATTTTTTTTGACCAGAGACCTCTGCCTTCAATACCGTTTAAGTCCGTCTATTTTTAGCATATTAAACCCAACCCATCTAATTACCACTCAAACAGAATTGGAGTAAAATGAGGAGAGAGAAATGTTGTTTACCAACCATTCAAGTTAAAAAATCATCTTCAGTCACTTGCAAAGATTCCAAGCACATCCAAACAATTNTTACGTAGTTTCTTAAACAGAATTGGAGTAAAATGAGGAGAGAGAAATGTTGTTTACCAACCATTCAAGTTAAAAAATCATCTTCAGTCACTTGCAAAGATTCCAAGCACATCCAAACAATTCATAACTATTTTTTCCATGTTCCGAAAATAATTTTTCATCTGTGCACCAGAAAATCTAAGAATAAATGAACAATCAAGACGACAAAAATACGAGAAAGAAAAACATGACCAAGATCAAAAGGAAAGAGCTAGGACTCTCATGTATGTTGAACACCGAGGTTGGAGCTGTTCTTGCCGTGATTCGTCGTGCACCCGAATCCAATACCCAATTCTATCATTCCTCAGAAGAAAACTATGATTCCTCAATATTACAATCATTGAAATCTTTAAGAGGATTGATCTTCAATCCTCAACAACAATGGCGAACCATCGACCCCTCAGTGTACCTTTCACCTTTCCTTGATGTGATACAATGCGATGATGTCCCTGCTGCTGCCACGGGCGTGGCTCTTTCGTCCATCCTGAAAATCCTCAAGTTTGAGATTTTTGATGAGAAGACCCCGGGGGCAAGAGACGCCATGAATTCAGCTGTAACCGCGATCACAGGTTGTCGTCTGGAGAAAACTGATAGTGTTTCTGAAGACGCGGTTATGATGAGAATTTTACAGGTTTTGACAGCAATCATGAAACATAGTACTTCTGTTTTGCTCACAGATCATTCTGTTTGCACAATTGTGAACACGTGTTTTCAAGTTGTTCAACAATCAGCCAGTCGGGGTGATTTGCTGCAACGCAGTGCAAGGTATACAATGCATGAGCTGATCCAGACAATTTTTTCGCGGTTACCTGATATTGAGGTGAGAGACTGGGAGGATTCAGAATCAGATACAGAAGATAATAATTTGTATTCCGGGTATGGTATCCGTTCTACAGTTGATGTTTTTCACTTCTTGTGCTCTTTACTGAATGTGATGGAAGTTGTGGAGACAGAAGGGTTGACAACTCAAACTGCTGATGAAGATGTTCAACTTTTCGCCTTGGTATTGATCAATTCTGCTATAGAATTGAGTGGTGACAGCATAGGGAAGCACCCAAAACTTTTGAGGATGGTTCAGGATGATCTATTTCACCATTTGATCCACTACGGAACGTGTTCGAGCCCACTTGTTTTGTCAATGATTTGCAGTACTGTCTTGAATATTTATCACTTTCTTCGCAGGTGAGGAATTTGAAATTTTTGTAGGTTGATCTTCTGAACTAATGAAACCAGACGTAATAAATGCAGACTCACCTCGGTGTTTTTTTGGTTGTGATTTTTGCAGGTCAATACGTCTCCAATTGGAAGCTTTCTACTCATTCGTGTTGTTGAGAGGGACAAGTTCAAGAATCCCAATTCAACTCCAAGAAGTAGCGGTTGAAGGAATTATAAACTTCTGTAGACAACCGACGTTCATCATGGAAGTCTATGTGAATTACGACTGTGATCCCATTTTCCGGAATGTTTTTGAAGAGATCGGAAAGTTGCTTTGCAAGCATGCATTTCCTACTGGTGGCCCTTTGACAAGTTTGCAAGTCCAAGCCTTTGAAGGTCTAGCAGTTATAATTCACAACATTGCTGATAATGTTGACAAGGAGGATGATTCCAGCCCTTCAGGACCATACACCATTGAAGTATCTGAGTATAGACCTTTCTGGGAAGAGAAATCAAAAGAAAACGAAGATTTAGAGACTTGGGTTGATTATGTGAGAGTAAGGAAGGCTCAGAAAAGAAAAATATTGATTGCTGGAAATCATTTTAATCGTGATGAAAAGAAAGGCTTGGAGTACCTGAAGATTTCTCAATTGATCTCGGATCCTCCAGATCCAAAAGCTCATGCTTTTTTCTTCCGTTACACTCCCAGATTAGACAAGACCATGATTGGAGATTTTCTTGGCGACCCTGATGATTTTCACATTCAAGTCCTCAAAGAATTCACAGAAACCTTTGAATTTTCTGGGATGATTTTGGACACTGCTCTCCGAACCTTTCTAGAAACTTTCAGATTGCCAGGTGAGTCACAGAAGATTCATAGGATCCTTGAAGCATTCTCAGAGAAATTTTATGATCAACAATCCTCGGAAATTTTTGTCACCAAGGATTCAGTGTTCATATTGTGCTACTCCCTCATTATGCTCAACACTGATCAACACAATCCACAAGTCAAGAAAAAGATGACAGAAGAAGAGTTCATCAGGAACAATAGAGCAATCAATGGAGGAAATGATCTTCCGAGGGAGTACCTATCCGAGCTTTTCCATTCCATTTCGACCAGTGCAATAACACTATTTGGTCAATCTAATACACCAGTAGGTATGAATCCGAACAGATGGATCCAGCTGATAAAACGAGCCAAACTTATGAAGCCTTTCATCGTGTGTGATTTTGATCGTCAACTAGGAAGGGATATGTTTGCTGCTATTGCTGGTCCCTCAGTTGCAACACTTGCAGCGATATTTGAACACACTGATGATGAAGAAATACTCCATGAATGTATCGAAGGGTTGTTTTCGATAGCTAGAATTACACAGTATGGACTAGAGGACACTCTTGATGAGCTCCTTGCCACATTTTGCAAATTCACCACACTGTTAAATCCCTATGCATCTGCAGAGGAAACATTGTATGCTTTTAGCAATGATATGAAGCCAAGAATGGCGACTCTTGCAGTTTTCACCATAGCAAACAGTTTTAAAGACTCAATCCGTGGGGGTTGGAGGACCATTGTGGAATGCTTGTTGAAACTGAAAAGGCTAAAACTGCTTCCTCAATCTGTTGTTGAACCAGATAATGCTTCCGCTTCATCAAATGACCTTCAACCACATGAAAGATCCGAATCAGGTGTGATTTTTCCTGATCCCAAGTCTGGCAACAGACGCCACAACTCTGGCTTGATTGGTCGATTCTCACATTTTCTTTCAATGGAGACTGTTGAAGAAAATTTAAATCTAGGGGTGAGTGAATTTGAACAGAACCTGAAAATCATCCAACAATGCCAAATTGGGAGCATTTTCAACAATAGTTCAAGTTTACCTGACGATCCATTGCTGAATCTCGGGCGCTCTCTGATATTTGCTGCTGCTGGAAAAGGCCAGAAATTCAACACATCAGTTGAAGAAGAAGAAACAGTTGGATTCTGTTGGGATTTGATACTCTCCATTGCTTCAGCTAACATTCACAGGTTCGCGACATTTTGGCCTCATTATTTTGAGTATTTACATGGAGTATCTCAGTTTCCTCTCTTCTCGCCTATCCCATTTGCAGAGAAGGCAATCGGAGCCCTCATGAAATTTTGTCTCAAGCTCCTAGCTTCATATAGATCTGACAAACTTTCAGAGGAGCTTATATTCAAATCCATAAATTTTATGTGGAAGCTAGAAAAGGAAATTCTTGATACTTGTTATCAGTTCCTAACGCAATCAGTGAGCAAAATTATCATTGAATACCCTGCGAATTTGCAAACCCAACTGGGATGGAAGTCAGTCCTCCATTTATTGTCAGTCACTGGGCGCCACCCGGAAACTTATGAACAGGGAGTTGAGACCCTCACCATGTTAATGTCTGATGGGGTACATATTTCACGGACAAATTATGCATATTGTATTGATTGTGCATTTGGTTTTGTCGCGTTGAGGAACAGTCCATTGGAAAGGAACATGAAGATAATGGATCTGATGTCTGGTTCTGTGAATTTATTAGTTCAATGGTATAGAAATTCATACTCAGATCCAGGGAGCAGCGTAAGTGTCACGAGCAACAATAGTAGCTCCTCCATGGAAGATAATTCAAAAGCTTTCGGGTTTTCCAACTTCACAGTGAACTTATTTGTCAAGCTAGGGGAAGCACTGAGAAAAACAAGCTTAGCCAGAAGAGAAGAGCTAAGAAACCATGCAATAATGTGTCTCCAGAAAAGCTTCACACTAGCTGAGGAACTATATTTCACACCAACTAACATTATAAACTGTTTTAACCTTGTGATATTTGCAATGGTTGATGATCTACATGAAAAGATGCTGGAATATTCGAGAAGAGAGAATGCAGAGAGGGAAACGAGAAGTATGGAAGGGACGTTGAAGCTGTCAATGGAGCTCTTGACAGAAGTGTATTTGCAATACTTGAAACTGATATCGGAGAGTTCTGAGTTCAGGACATTCTGGTTAGGCATCTTGAGAAGAATGGATACATGTATGAAGGCTGACTTAGGAGCATATGGTGAATCAAAATTGCCAAATACAATCCCAGATTTGTTGATAAAGATTATCAGAAGAATGAAGGAAAAGGACATTCTGGTGCCCAAGGAAGGAGACGACCTGTGGGAAATTACCTACATTCAGATACAATGGATAGCTCCATCTCTCAAGGAGGAGTTGTTTCCTGATGTAGAGGGTATGGCATAAAACGTAGGAACCTTGTTTTTCTTTTTCTTTTTCTCTTTTTTTTTGTTCGTGTGTGGTGGGGTGGGGGACATAATTTCTTCTTAGGTGAATTCTGAATTTTGTTAACAAAAAACTGTAATTACCATTATACATAGGAATAACAGAAACAAATATGTTCTATGCTTTAATTAATGATGCACTGATGTTACTTATCAAGATTTGAGGACAAGAGTTATCCCAGCCCCTCTTTTAACTTCCTGAACCAAACATCAGGGCAATTTTGCAATTACAGTGATTGGTATGACCATCGAATTTTTATGCATATCTGTCCTATCATGCATGTCAGGTAAAATAGAGTTGAAAATGGGGCGACATTAAAAAGTTGTGAAGTGACTAGGCTTAAACAATTCACCAATTAACCACAATAAGGAGAAAAAAAATTCGAGCGTAAGAGAGACACACAAAGACAAAGAGGGAGAATCTGTTGGTCTCTTAGTTGGTTCTTAAACTGACCTGTATAACCTATTTGCCTATACATATAACTCAGGTGCACTGGTAAGTTTCATCATTGTACACATTTTATCTAAAGTCCAGTGCACGGTGCTGTTGTAATTACCGGATCATATGTGTGCAGACTTACTTTGCATGCTAGACGTTGTTTCGTTGATATCTAATGAAATGATCAATAGAACTAAGTTCGGCCCACCTGAAACAACTTTCCTTTAGATTATACCCAGATTACCTACACTTGCAGGTAGAGGCTGGGTTGAGCTTGAGCTTGTTTTGGACCAAAAGAGCGCATTGCATCTGTTAACCGGATTTGTAACCAACTCAGATTTGAATCTCGGACGGCTTAAACCTGGTCTGTATGTATTACACTGGGACAGAACAACACAGTCAAGGTATTGGTGTAAATGTCTGAGAGGAAAAATGCTTCCACAAAAGATTTTGCCAATGTTTGATCACAAGCTAGTATTTACTTGCCATACTTGGAAATCGAAAAATGACTGATTTTGGGGCAAAGGTGCAAATCAAAGTACAACTCTCTACTCATTTTGCCTAAAAGTTAGTTTTTTTTTTTTTTTTGGGGGGGGG